CTCATGCCGCCGAAAAGTTCGTGGAAAAATGAAACCGCAGCCCCAACAGCGAATGCACTCGGTGACAAAAATGACGCAGCAAGCTTTCCTGAGGCAGGGAACTCCGTCACCGGAAAGAGGGGAATCGCGCAGGCAAAGTAGATAAGCGCCGCGAAAATGGCGGCATGCCTGACGCTGTTAAACAGCGTCTCCAAAAGACCCGACGGCACGACCGCGGAAGGGCCAAAGAGAAACGCGAGTATAAAAATACAAAGGTAGTTTGGTTTGTCCTTGACAGGTACGCCAACTTCACCATCAATGACATAATCAGGCTTGTAGCGCGGTACTGCACCACGCACAGAATAAACCACACAGAATACATAATGCTCTTGGACAGACCCATAATTAACATCGCCTCGCAAAGGTGCAGCTCCTTTCCCACAGCAATACTCCTCGTTAGCTGTGAAACACAGTACAGAAACCCCATTATGAGAATGAGAGGTGTCAGTTGTATAGAAGGAGTCAAAAAGAATAGATTGTTAAATGCTTCTGTAAATTTAGGACCAACCTGCAGAGAAAAGTGGGCATTCACACCCTTAACTGCATTAACATGTAGTCGGAGAGAACATCCTGCAGCGTCAAAAAATCCTGAAAGGAGGCACAGTTCATCACTATAATTAATCAGTCCCCAACGGCAATCAATCTCCAAGATTCTCTTTATCGTCTGTAAAACAGATGCGTTAAAGCGGATAGCCACTTCGCAAGTCTCTGGTGAGATGTAGTTGATTTGTACAACACCCCATATAGATCTATCCTCGCCTAACATCGACTCCAGAGTGTCCGCATCGACTATCCCGCTGTAATCGTAGGAGACACATTGAGGAATGTCGTCAAAGTACTTCACAAGAGCAGCGGTAGCATCCGAGAGAGGGTAAAGTTCGCCAATGCCATAAAAAACGGTGGAAATTGCTGCACAAACCCAGCTTTCATTACTTATTGCTCGGTATACGCACGTTCATGGACTCAGTTAATCCCGTGTTTTGATGTGAAGTATTCTTCCTCTTGAACGCCACGGAAGCATCTCCAAAACGTTGGATATCGTGTTGTAGCAGAACGAGTGCGGAGCACCGCTCTCCCATGTCGCACAGACAATGGTTTCTTCAGGATCTGGTAAGACACACTCCTGAAGACGAATAATGGGTTGACGACACTTTGGTTATTGTAGCAGATGCATTGGCCGAATAGTTGGAGGAGCTCTTCGGATTTAGTAGCATTCTCCACCTAGAGATAACTTTCCTCCGTGCATGAATAGCGAATAACAATTGCCCATGAAAATATGCTTCCTGCAGGAAAGGTGATAACAGGCATAAACAACCCGTAGATTGACCCACAAGGTGACTGTCGCTGCATCTGCAATACACGACGTATTGCTATGCCAAATTGCATACTGCAGTACCTCTTTTTGGAGTGAGTGGCATCACTTTCTCGAGTATTGAAGTCCTTGCCGTTTCTTGTGTCGGTGGTATTGTTTGCCTCAACTGAGCTTTCCCTTCTGCCGCTGAATGTTCCGGAGCTCGTCGATGAACAAAGGAAGGACAAACCTCATTTTCCTGCCGTTGGATTGTGTCACTGCCCGGGTTGGGAAGGCAGCCGCTCACTTCATCTGTGTTCAAAAAAGGCCGTTCAACTCCACCCCACCCACCCACCCCGCAGTCGCTCAAATTTGCTGCACTCATGCATGAGTAAGCACTTGTGACTGTCCTACCCCGCACCACACCTTTGCTTGAAGAGCTATTTCTTTCCTGGCTCCCTCCCCCCACCTCTACGCCACGCGCCGCCCTAAATTTGTCGTACCATTTATGGTGTCGTCCTCTGCGCCGAAGGCAAAATTACGTTTCTAGAGGAAATGCGCCTGCTTAGTGATGATGCTCACTGCCGGTGTTTAGAAGAGGCAATTTGGACAGATAATTTGTTCTACGTTGACTTGTGACTGTTGTATTTATTCATCCCTGTTGCCTCCTACCACATCGTCGTTGCGGTTGAGCCAACTCTCACACGTTCATTTGTTTCTGATGAGTTACTCTCAATAAACAAGCGAAATACAAGCCAATTACGCAAACACATTTTTTTTACGTACGCTGACCATTAACAGCGCAAGCAATGCGGGCGCACTTGCGTGATATTCATGCTTTTTTTTTTGTGTGTGCCTATGTTTGTGTACGAAGGGCCACAGTGGTGTCGTGCAAAATTGCCGCTAATACAACATTGGCAGTCCAACTTCATTTGAGGTCACCGTTGACGCTGCTCACACCGCGTGGTCTTTTTTTCGCAGCAGAAAGAAGAAAAGAGAAAAACGACAAGGCAAACCGAGAAGAACGCTAGAGCAGGCGCACACACCGCAGAAGAAAAGTCGGAATGCAGGAGCACACCCCGTAGGGGCCACGTTGTGGCGAACCAACGCCACCAATTTCGAATTTCTTGTTTTGTTTTTTGTTGTTTTGTTGTTTTGTTGTTTTGTTGTTTTTTGGTGCTTTTTTTTTCGTTTTTTGTTTTTTTTTGTTTTTATGGAGCGTCGTCCAACAGTTCGTAATCCTGCGCAACCGTACGCAAAGAGTAAAAAAAAAAAAAACATATCGCCACTTCGGGCCGCGTACTTCAGCTGGTGGTGGGGTTGTGGTGGTGGGTCGCGCGCCCACCTTTTCTTACGTACGCCGGTGCCTGCCTGAAAGTGTCACCCGCCCACAATGGCCGCAGCCACACGTTGCTGCCCAAAACCCGTCCCACTCCTCACCCCCGCCCGCGTTTACACGTGTCAACGCGACCTCACCCCCACTCCGCACGCTCCTACACCTCTCACACCCGCGCTTCACTACACGTGCCCGCTCCGCGAGCAACGAGGCAACCAGAAACCAAAATAAAAGAAAAAAAAACAATAAAAAAAGCACCGGAAAAAAAAAAAAACTTACTGGTGAGTGTTTCCGGGGGCTACTGATGTGATGTGAGAACGGTAGGAGTGGCGTTCACGCAGTGTGGAGCCACGGAGAGCGGCTAAGGTTGACGCGAGACCGCCGAAAACCCGGTCAGGCGCTCGACACGTCAAAACATCATTATTTGTATGTAAGGAAACGGTGCGGCGTTGGACGTTACCACCTTCTCATGACGTGCCGTCGTGGCCTGTGGGTGCGTACAGGTGTCAATGGGTGGTGGCGCTCCGCCTCTCACGTCATTCCTCCCCCACCCCACCGGCCACCAGACAAGTACAGTTGTTGCTGCTGTTGCAGAAGGGGGGCCGAAAACAAAAAAAAACACACACACATAAAAAAAAGCAAACGAAAACAAAAAAAAAAAGGAAATTTACCAAAAAAACGAAGAAAGAGACAAAAGAAAAAAGTGAAAAGCCGCCAACGGAAAAGCTACCCAAATTAAAAAAAATGAAAAGGTGGAGAAAGGATGAGCCCAGGAGAAGGGCAAACACAAGGAGCAAAAGAGAAACAGAGAGGGAAACATACACACACACACAGGGCAACTCAAAAAGAATGCAATCATGCGGCGAAAAGAGGGCCGAGAAACAGCAGCAGGATGCAAATAACAAAACCACAACAAAGAGGTAAAAACGGAAAAAGAACAGCTGCATATATATATATATATATACCTCCATGGAGATGACAAAAACGCACACACAGACATATAAATTTACGTGCTGTCCGCCGAGGGGGCGCAGCGCAGAAACGACAAAAATTTAGGCCCAGTGTATTTCTTATCGCTCGCCCCTTTCCTCCTCCTCCTTCCACCATACCTGGTGTCTGCCTCAGCGTTCTCTGCTTGCCCCTCAAAACACGTCTTGCCATGTCGCATTTCCTCCGCCCCGCAGACACCATGCGAGGCGGCTGTGTCTCACTCATCCTCGCGGCCTCGACAAAAACAACACATGCGCACAAAAAAATATTTTGGGAAGCCAAAACCACCCTCGGCAATGGCGGGTGAGAAGGACCAAAGCGAATCAACGAGGAGGGGTGAAAAGCAAAAGGAAGAACAAACACGGAAAGGAAAAAAAAAAAGAAGAGAGAGAAAAAAATAAATAAAAATCTTAAAAGGAAGATAGCCCACAATAACCTGTTATATATGTACATATGTTTGTACGCCCATAGATGAAGTCCGTGTATTATTTAAAAAAAAAAAAAAAATTAACCGCACCGCGGGACGAACAAAGAAAAGAAATACAATCAACAACAGGCAAACAAAAAGAAAAACGGAGTGACAAAAGCTTTGCTGAACCTCATGTTTCGTGTGCACTTCAATGCTATATCCGTGCTACACCTCGCCTTTCCCCCTCTCTCTCTCGCTCTCTCTCTATACATATATATATATATGTATAGAGAGAGGGAGTCATTTTTCAACTTTTCTTGTTCTGTCCGTCGTTTTATTGGTTCTTTTTGTTTACAGTTCTGCCATCCTCTCTCCGCCGCCTATTTAACACCGTTTCATATATATATATATATATATATATATATTTCTTGTCGTCACCGCGTTCGTGTGTTCGTCCTCTCTCATGCTACGTTAGATGCAAAATAAATTGCTGTATGTTCCTCACTTTTCCCGATCGTGGTGTCCATCGCAGATTACGTCCGCCCAAACCCCATCCTTCTACCGCTGCTGCTGCTGTGTGTGTGCTGCTTCTCTCTCTCTCTCTCTCTTACCCGCCCACCCCACGCATGCACGTCAACAAGGAACAAAGCGGCATCACTCACTCAATTGTTATTCGCGACGGGGGGTGTTGCCTCCTCCTGCTTCTGCATCTTTGATATTTCTATTACGACTTTCACTCCCGCCATGGACTCCACCCACCCCGCAACGCCTCATGTTGGCTCTTTGTTCCTTTTTCCTCCCTTTCCCTCTCCTCGCACCTCTCAGTGCCGCGTGCCGTTGTCCCCCTCCACTTCCCCCACCCTACCGGCTTACTCCTCTTTCCTTCACCTCCTCTTCGTCTTCAGCTTCTGTCATCCGAGAAACAACAAACAAACGAAAAATAAATTTAAAAAAAAACATTCATTTCCTCTGCCCTGCTTGTTCTTCGTTTCATCTACCATATGGCATCTGCTTTTTACCACACACTTCTTATTCCCTCCTCACCATTTTCTCTCCTTTGTCCTTATGGGGAGCACGCGAAGAGCCTTCCCACGCGTCTTCCCTCAGGCCCTTTTTTCCTCCTCGCGCGCACCCCCACCTTTTTTTCCAGCGTTGTCCCTTTCACTCTTTTTTCGTGGTTATTTGCCACCTCATTTACTGCTCTTCTTCACCGCCCCACCCCCGTCAGCTACAGTCACGCACGCATTTCTTCGTTTTTTTTTTAATTACTTTCCACCCCGCGCGAAGAAGCGTCGTGCCTGGATTTCATCCTCTCTGTTCAGCGCTTTGGGGGCGTGCATGAGATGCGGTGTTGCATGTGCTAAAGATTACGGCGCTCAAAGAAAAACATTAAAGAGATAACTTTTTTCACTCTCTCTCATTGCATCGGAAACCAGACAAATACGTATCATTTTCTCTTATTTCCCCAGTTTTCATTATCATTTCTATCTACAGATATATATATATATATATATATATATGTATATAGTTCTTCCTACTATGCCTCCTCACACCACCTGTTTTCCTCACGGATTTTCTCCTCTTCCTCTGGTGTGAAATCACTCTCAATGTTGAACAGGGCGCGAATCTGCTCCGCCGTCTTCCCACGAATCATGCTGGCGACGCACGCACACGTTAGGTCTAGCAGGTCCTTTATGTTCAGGAAGTTTGCCGCCATGATGACATCAATGAGCACCTCATGCTGCTTCTCGTCATGGTTCTTGACAAGGTGCGTGAACAGAAAGTCATGATCCCACGGGGAAATGATGGTGTCAATCTTTGATTTAAGCGGTTTCTCAATGGGTTCGGCTCTGTTCTGGTAGTGATGCTCCATGTACTCAATCACCAGCCGCAGCGTGCGTCCAGAGACGTTTGGAATAGGAATGATTGGCTCCATATCACCTTGATCATCAAGCATGTCCTTTAGCAGACCAGACATCATCGCCGCTTCCCGAAGGATCTTTAACTCTTCCGGTGGCTGATCATTACTTTGCAGGACGCAATACTTGGTAAAGTCTACCTCGTTTGAGCCGCCTTCCTCCGGCATCGCTTTTTTATCTCTCACGGTCGCGCGCCTGCACGTGTGCGTAGTACCTTTTCGGTTCCCTCGTCCACTGATCTTCTTTGTGGTCGGCGTATTACCTACTCCTTAGGTGGCTCCGCTTCCTCTAAGCCACTTGGTTCTGCTCGGACGCAAAAAAGCAACAACAAGCAAAAGAAATTAAAAAAAGAATCGTGAAGGAAACGCACCAAAAAAAAAAAAACGGTTGAGCCCTCCCATGCATTGGCAGACACATTTGTGCAGTAACCGTACATGCATAAAACTTGTTTTTGTCAAACTCACTCAGATTCCTTCTAGCAGGTCTCAACTCAACCGCGGCAGGAGATGAGCGAGAGAAAGAGCAAGGACACGATACCCGCCCGCGTGCAGCAGCTGCACTGTGGCGCGGTTTCTTTGAGTGCACAACGGCCACAACGCAGCGAAACACCGAAAAGCATTAAATAGAGCGAGAAATACCCCTCGTTGTCCCTCCCACACACACACACAAGGACCACAAACGGAAAAACAAAACACGGCACCTAACAAAAAAAAAAAAAAACTACCAAATGTAGGGTAAAAAGGGAAAAAATTAAGAAGTGGAAAGCATAACACCCCTGTTTTCAGGTGGCTGACTTGGTCCCGCGAGAAGCGCCCGTTGCCTGCTCCAGCACTTCTTGTTGGTAGGTGCGTAGCACCACCTTACTCTTCACCCCAACACATTCCTTGCACTTGTACCCATTCTTACGACGGGTCATCTCGCGATCAAAGCGCCCACACACGACACAATAAATCTGCGGAGTATTTGTTTGCAATTGCACCTGGTGGCTCTGCAAAACATCGGTGTCCACCTTCACAGCCTCGCTGACCTCTTCGTGCCGTGTGCGACGCATAATGACATCTGTGTCAGTAAAGTTCATGTCACGATTCCGCTCATCCCTGTCGCTGTCCTCATCGTAATGCAGCAAGCCGTCCGCCCGCACACCGTAGTCTGAGGCAATGGCGTGGTGCACAAGTTCCTCAATCGTTGGATCGCGGCCGTATGCCACCACCGCCTCGCCAAACCCGTCTTCAGTTCCAGTTGTGGCTGTTACAGCTCCACCTCGTTTTTTGGAGGTGTTATTCTGCGCATTTTCCTCGGCGTTGTCGTCCTCAGCGTTCTCTTGATCAACGAGCTTTCCACGTTGATAGAAGATTGTAGCAATGGTGTCTTCAACCACGTCATTAATATTGAGGGCGGTGTCAATGTTGCTTCGAATGCTGCGGTTATTATCGTCCTTCATGTACATGGGAACCACAGCCATCTCCTCATCGAGTTTTCTGCGACCAAAGGCCGCGCGATGCATTAAAGCTACAGGCAGTGTTTCAAAACACATGAGCAAGTCCTGAATGGCTGCGCTGACAGTCTCTCGCTCATGATCGGTGTCCCCCGTGTAGAGCAGTTTCAGTTTCAGCAAAATGTTCACCATAACACTCTGCCAGAAGCTAAAGAAGATGATGGTCTTAATACAAAGGAACTTGAGAAACGGCTTGGCGTAGTGCAGCTCCTTCTCCAGCTCCACCTCAAAGAGTACCAGGTAGTATAGCGACATCGTGAGACTAATATTGATGACAATGGAAATGTACGTGTACGCGTTGTTAAGGGTAAAGGCGCCCTCGTTGTAAAACCCCAGTGGATTCAGCAGCATCGCAAGGAAGGAGCATAACGGTTTGATGAGAGCGCATTGTAACACCCAACGCTTGCAACGGAGATAAAAGGCAGTGTCTAGCGGGTACGTGGGCAAACAACAGATCGGGAATAAGTGAACCCCCTTGTAGCGTTTTGCCTTTAGCGACCGCAGTAATTGGCCCTCCCCACCGCAGTATTTCAGCAACAAAATAAAGAACATGTACAGCACAAAACTCTCGTACGTGTCGCGAATTGTCTCAAGGAAAAAACGCATATCCAGCAGCACCACGGACAACAAGGAGAAAAGACCATAGATAGGAATCATTGCAATAATGCGAAGCACCAAAACCTGCAGCTGAGGATAGTCAAATCTGGCCACGTGATCACGCAAGTCAATAAATGACACAATGCAGGCGACAGTAACGCACACGCCTGCTGCGTACGTTACATTGGGATTTAGCACCCATCGCATGTCAATCCCTCTAATCTCACCAGTTGGCAATTCACCGCCGCCGGTGTGTGACGCCTCTCCGCCTGTCATAGACGCGGAGGTCGATGCGGATTACGAACACGAGTTATGCGTATCTTTTATTTGTGTACTCCTGCGCAGTGTGATGAGTTGCGTTCCCTCTCGCCACTGCCGAGAAGCGTCAGTAGCACACCATAAGGAAAGACAAAAAAGAAAAAGAAAAAGAGAGAAGGCTGTAACGCCACCAACATGGAGCCAAACAAACTTCCCCCGTACAAAACCGCACGCAGGTCAAGTGCGGGTGCACGGTGACGGCGCAGTGGCCAGGCAGTCTTCGGCAAATGTGGGATCTGTTGCTGCACCACACAAGCTGAAAGCGTAATCGCACAAAACACAAACAGGCAAACAAAAAAAGAAAAATTAACAGGCAAGAAACACAGCGCTTAGTAGAAGAAGCCAAGAACCTTTCCACCAGTGTTGCGGGCACGCGCCTCCTCGTGGTCCATGATGCCAAGCGACGTCGTAAGCACCACGAAGCCAAACTGACGGCTGGGAAGAATGTTCTTCACCCACTTCTCAAAGTCAGGGGCAGTGCAGTCGAAGCGGGGGCAGATGGCACCGCACTTGTTAAGGCGGCCGTTGAGATTCACCACAATTTTACCCGCACGGTGGTCGTCGATGATCTCAAACTCACCAATGTAGCCGTGCTTCTGCATCACCTGTAAGAACTTCACGACGACCTTGGACGACGGGCGAATAAGAACCTGACGCTTGCCACGGCGCTCCGCGCTCGCAATGCCGCGAAGCGCGTTGGCCAACACGCTCATCATCGTCATCCTTTGGCACGCTTTGTTCCTTGACTGCCTGTTGGCAACACGCGGTGCAGCCAGTAACCAAAAACACCAATAAAAAGAAGAAAAAACAACAGAAGAGATGCAAGCAAATCCCCGGCACGCAGCATGGGGTGGAAAGAGCGGAACTGAACAAAAGAAAAAAAAAGGAACAAAAGAAAAAGCAGGATGTCTTCCAAGTGATCGTCCTCCAGTTGCCCCCACTGTTTCCCGCCCACTCCATTGTTGTTTACCATCCGCAGCAACTGCTACGGCACCTCTCTATCCCCCACACCCTCACACACGTCCATGCACGGGAGCTCCGTCTCACCCACGGCCACGTCGCTGCTTCGCCCGCCGTTGGGGATTAGGCCGCAACCCGGACTGTACGTAATGGCCCTCGGCCAGTGCGTCAAGCCCGTGCACGACATCCAGCACTGTCTGCCGCTGCGTCAAAGCCTCACGGTGCCTACGGGCAAACTCCACCTTTGCACCCCGTAACACCTCCGTCGTGCGCCGCCCTGCCCATACAAACCACATGGAACGAAAGTGCGAATGCTCATTTCCTGCCCCTTTTGGGTGCCTAAAGTCGTAACAGCTGCGCGGAACCAAATAAAATGGTTCCGTGCCAATCGGAACTGTTTCCTTACTGCAGCCCTTATCCGTCTCCTTATTGATCTTGTTGATGGTGTCATCAAGTGGCTTTTCCGCGCCCGCTGGTGAATCCATCCTGACAAAGGGGGGCGGTTGTAGAGCTGCAGCAGAAGCTTTTGGTCGGGTATGCCGCGGTGCGTTGATGTCACCTTTACCAGACGGTGGCGCAGCGGTAAAGTGCCGCCTCACCGCCGCTCTGTACCAGTCCTTCGTGGCCGTATAGTCGGGCACCAAAAAAGCAAAAGGTTTTTTTGCTGTCACTAGGTAGTCAAAGAGCCGCTCAATGTGATCGCCACTAAACGGGGGGTTTGTGACGAGCATGTCGTAATCAAGCGGCACCTTCCCCTCCGCAATGTCCCTGTAAAAGTCCCTATTCTCGTGTATGACTCGCTGCACCCCCAGCGCGTTCCAGTGATGCAGAACCGTCCCAGCGCAGTAGTAGGGATCGTACACCACGAAGTTCTCAGGAGCGGACGGCCGCAGCAGCCGCTGCAGCTGGTCAACAACAACCGCAATGTCGCGGAGAGCCTCCATCGACGTCTCAAAGTGATCATTAAATTCCGCCTTAAAGGGGTGCGAAAGAGGCACAGCTGTGGCATCGTGCTCCGTCCGTGGCCGCACACGCACCGCCTGCTCCTCTTGCGGTGTCTCCCCACCACAGCCGTCACGCCCGCGTCGGCGGCTGCCCACCCCAGTCATCCCCCACGACCACCACCAGTAATGCAATGCCACGGCCTTCACAACAAATCGACGGTGACGCACCGCGGAGGCAACAAAGTTCAAAAGAAAGCAAAAGCACGCAAACCAACAAGCAATGAACAGTAAATATATATATATATATATATATCTCAGATAAACGCCATGAACTCACTCAGCCCGGAATCCCCACCACGCACTACACGGCAACCACAACAACAAAAAAGAAGTAAGAATGCGAACCGATATGTAGGCTTCGTCAATACTCATCCGTCAAATAGACAGACACACCGCCGCCGCCGCCGCCAACAACAACAATCAACATCAACAACACCCCGCGTTTATCTCACTCACTCAGCCTCTATTCCTCCATTTCTCACCCACCTTTCTCATAAGTTTGTTTTTATTTGTTACTTTCCTTTCGTTGCCGATTCCTTTGGGCTATTCCTTTCCCCGTTCTGATCTCGCGTTCCCCAGCGCCTTCTTCTTGACATGGGGAGATCGTCACCCTCGCTAAACACGACATCATCGTAGTCGTCCACCTTTTCAAACTTAGTCCTGCTGCGCTCCTCGCGAAGCGACTGTCGCTCCTCTTCACGTCGTGCCTGTTCCTCCTTTGAGGTGAACAGCCGCTCCATCAAGGACGGGCCTTTTACCACGTCGATGATTTGTGACTTCGCGGCCTGCGGAGGGTCAGGAAACCGAAAGAAATCGCGGAACGGCTGCCAACGCAGCAGCAGCGGCTGCAACAGGCCTGCCGTCGACAAGCCAATCCAGTACGCAAACATGGCAGAGGGCTGCGACGCAAACATGTAAACACCTGCAAGAGACCCTGCACGCACCGCCCAGCGGATGTAAATGCCAGAGGAGCTTCGCCCACCACGCTGCATTTGCTGGTTCATCTCAAAGTTCACTAAAAACATACCCGCACAAATGAACGGCAGCCCGTACGTTGGGTCCGGCATTGTCAGGTCCTTCACCCACAGAAACGGTGCCATCTCTAGGTCTGACTCGTATATCGCCAGGCGGCGAATAGAAAAAAAGGCTGACATGGTAACGGGGGCAGTGAGCATTGTAAGAAAGCTTTTCCATTGTGCACAGCCGTGCTTCCTCATCAGCGCATACTTCATTCGATTATAACCGTCCTTAATCACGCGCTTCTCTGCAGTGCTAAGTGTGCGATCATTCTTGGCCCGATTTTGGCTATTGGTGATCTCAGAAATCTGCGGGCCAATGTAGCTCATCCGCAGTGCGTTTCGGTGACTGTAGAGGGAGGGGATGAGGGTGCACAGACGCATGACAATACCGTAGAAAAGAAACACAAGGCCCCAACTTCCAAAATCGAACCCAAGAAAACCGTTGTGCCGCAGGCTGCGCATAATATCTATCTGCTTCTCCACCGGCTGCATGAAGCTCACAATCCACTCCCAGAAATCCTCAAGCCGTTCAAAAACACTTTTCTCTGGGCGAATGAAGTCATCCACTTCTTGCGGCTGCTGCGCGAACACATCCGGCAGCTCCTCCTCGATGTTGCGGTGCGACTCCCGCCCGACAATGGTGTCGCCTGCCCACTTCGCTGGATTCCAACTAATGCAACGCACACTCACCAACACCGCCGCCGGGCCACCTCGACGGCTGCCAAGAAAACCAAAGGCAGTCAACGCGGGCACGGCCACGGCGCCTGCCGCCGTGCCGCAAAAAGGAGTGATACGCTGAAGCGGCACCCTGCGCAGGGCAGCATGGAAGGACATCCTTCACAAATAGGAGAAGCAACTCAACAAGAGCACAAACAAGAAAGAAAAGGCAGAAGGACGAAGAGGCGGTGATGCCAAAGTTGTATTACTCCTTCCACTCACGCACATGAGGAAGGCCAGCAACCACGAGGCCAGACACGCACACAAACAAACAAACAGACGGATAAAAAAAAAAACATATATTTACCTTAACACGCCCACACCTTACGGAGGGTTCGTTCATACACACAACACGGTTCTGAGTCCCACAGCGTCATTTTGGTTTGTTTGTTTGTTTTTGCTTTTGTTTTTCACACGTCACTCGTGCAAGCATCACACCATTTTAAACAAAACAAAAACAAAAAAAAGGGAAATTTATTATCTGACAACACAAAAAGCAATATATATATATATATATATATATATATTAACCATGGAGAAAAAGGAAAGCGAAAAGGAAACAACACCACAATGTCCCTACCCCCAACGCTCATCATCCGCCGCTCCCCTCCCAGTACGCATACTTTCTCCCTCCTTTTACGACTTGCCAGATTTGACGAGTGACTCCTTGGTAGATTCGTAAAGTTTCATGACAAGACCAATAGCGATAGTTTTTCCGTCGTCGCGCAGCATAAATCGTCCCATTTTATCAAACTCCTTATGAGGCTCTAATACCACAGAACGTTCCAACTCCATACGTGCAATCACCACATCGCCAGCCTTTGCGTGGGTGGGCTCCTTTTCCAACACCCCACCTGTCTTTTTGTCAACTTTTGCCAGCAGCTTATGGAAACACGCCTCCTCTTGGGCGGCATGCGCATGTAGCATGACACGTGAGCCGGCGCAAATGATATTCTTAACGTCGAGAATCACCACACGAGCCTGAAAATACTCCACAGCGCGAAGCGAGGTTGGGATGGACGTGGCCACATAGCCTGCGTGAATGTCGCCCTCATCCAGACCACGCATCCGCAGGTGTACATTGTCGCCGGGATAACACTTTTCAAACTCTGTCGATTCAATGGAAATGCCCTCGACAAATGCCTCCAACTTGGTTGGGAGGATTTGAAGCTTTTCGCCAACTGCGATGGAACCAGACTCCACCTTTCCGTAGATGAATATACGCCCATCATCCTTATAGTAACCAACTAAGGGAATGCAAAGCACGTCGTTCTCACTTTTTGTCTCTGGCAACACGAGATTATCAATGAAGTCCATCATTGTGGGCCCCTTATACCATGGGCATATGTCGTCCGCGGAACGATGAATAAGGTTTTCCCCGGAAAGACCGGCAATGGGAATAAAGCAAAGATTTTTTCCTCTTTCCTCATCGTAGCCGTTTTGTCGAAGGAAGGGTTTCAGTTTTCCCACAATCTCATCATATCGACCCTTGTCCCACCCACACTCATCCATCTTGTTGATGACGCAGATCATTTGCTTTACACCACACGTGCGCACTAGCATCGCATGCTCCCGTGTCTGACCGCCCTTCTCAAATCCCGTCTCAAATTCACCTTTACGACTGGAAATGACAAGCACACAAATGTCTGCCTGTGTCGCTCCACCAATCATAGATGGCACAAAAGCCTTATGTCCTGGGGCGTCGAGAATCGTCACACGACGTTTTTCTGTCTCAATGTAGGCCGCACCTGTCTCGCGGGTGATACCTTTTGACCGCTCCTCCTCCGAGACATCCATAACGTAGGCGTATTCCCAACCCTCGCGGTGGTATACCTCGGCTTCCCGGCGCAGCTTGTCCATCTCACGCTGATCTACCAAACCCTTCTCCATGAGCAGGTGGCCGGAAATGGTGGACTTACCAGCATCCACGTGCCCACAGAATACAATGTTAAAATGCGGACGTGGATCGCGAACAAAGTCCTTTTTATTACTTTCACGTTGTTTTGCTATCTCCTTCTTCACGTATTCGCGCAGCTCCTCTGGAGACATCTTAGAGATCGAGGTCACGCCTTCCTTTTTATCGTCAGACGTTTTCGCCGCGGCAGAGGATCCCTCTTTGCTCTCCTCTTCTGCCTTGGTGTTCTCATTTTTTGGTTTGGCCTCCTCAGTCTTTTTTTTTCCGAGAGACAGCATGCCACCCTTCCCCTTTTTGGGCATTACCACGGGTTCCGAAGTGCCACCACCAAGTGAAAGTTTTCCCAAATCCACTTCAGCGACCTTTGTTTTTTCCTGTTGCCTCTGTGGAGCCGTGCCTGTAGTATTATCCACTGAGGTTGGAGAGGCATACCCACTGGAGTATTCACCTTGTGGCTGTAATGGCTGCTGTGGTGGCTGCTGCTGCTGCTGCTGCTGCTGCTGGGGTGGATAGTAGCCACCGGAGTAGCCGCCATAGCCCCCCCGTTGGGGTTGTTGTTGTGGTGGATAGTAGCCACCAGCATAACCACTGTAGCCGCCACCGCCCTGCTGCTGCTGCTGCTGCTGGGGTGGGTAGTAGCCCTGCTGACCTTGTGGGTTGTAGGCATTCGCATTGGGATTAAACCCACCCGGTTGGGCCCATCCAGACATTTTCCTTCTTAATCTCCTGCAATAGGCTTGCTAAGGCGATGCAGCAAAGAAAAGAAAAAAAAGCATTTAAAAAAGCCACAGTAAGCAGCATATGCACACACATAGGGAAAAGAAACAAAAAAAAAAAGCGAGTGCAAAGCACATGCAATGCTGCCGCAGCTCGAAGCAAGCATTAGTTTTGTTATTGCTACTATCTAGTGCCGTTGTCAATGGTTTGTTGTTCACCCTTGTCATGGCATTTCCTTCGTTTTGTTGTTCTTGTTGTTGTTTTCTTCCTGCTGAGTGGCAAGAAAACCAAGCGAAGTGTCCCACTCAAAAACAAAAACAAAAAGAGGCAATGATGCCCCGCGCGTCAACAACAAAAAAAGGCATAAAAAAGGGGGAAAAAAACTAAAAAAAAACATAACAACGTCTACAGGAAGCGAGGGAGGAAAAGGCTCCTTTCCTTCTTTTTCTTCGTGGCGAAGCGCACATACACAGAGAGGTAAAGGATAAACACAACCAACCGCGGTGACAACAACCCAGAAGTAGACGACAGTGGTCGTTGCTAATTAGGGGTCCTGTCGTTCCTCGACAAAAACTTGAGGTTCAGAAACGGCTGTATCACATCGAAGTGAGCATCGGAAAGCTGCCGCCAGGCATTCTTCGCATGAGGAGTTCCCATCGAATTCACATAATTGGTAATCAGAGAAACTACGTCCGGTGAGAGTGTACCACGCTGAAGCAATTTAAACAGCTCCAATGCCGCCTTTGAAGTCACCAACCGACGTTGAGCATTGCCAACCTGCTGAACGTCGGTGCAAAGTCGCTGAGCGAGTGCCTGGTACGCAGGGTTGAGGGAGGTGATGTCAAAACGCGACAAATCGGCATCACCAACCGTGTTGGCAGCAGCCAATGGCACACCACCTAGGGTACGGGAGGCCATCCCAGAAGGAAGCGCACTTCCACCGTACGGAGATGGGGTAAACGAGTTAGGCGCATTCGATGCCAAGCCATAGGGAGAAGGTGTCAAAGCTGCTGCCTGAGGTCGAGGCACAGTATTCTGAGGCATCAACTTGTTTTGTGGCAACGGTAAAGAGGACCGATAAGGTCCGTTTCCAGCACCATGAAAATTTGTCAAAGAGCTACTCGCTGAACCTTCTCTGGTTGGCGCACCTAAGGATGCATTACTGGGGGTCGGCATCATTGGTCGTGCTGGTGGAGGCGCAACCACCGAGGCTGCTGTGGCTGCAGACTGTGCTACTGGCATCCCCGATGCGGAGGAGTTGTTGTAAAGCGACGGGGCGCCTCCTTGGGGATTCAGATTATTGACTTGTGTATTATCTTTCACTCCTGCATTATGCGCGGTAGCGCTTGGAGGGACCCCTGACATTGGCTGAGTATGCCCGCTAAATACACCACCTTGTGGGAGAGGCCCTAACGATGCACCATGAGATGGCGGTGGCGGCGGAGCCGTACCAAGTCCTTGAGGTTGCATCGGTTGCCGCATTTGTTGTATTCCAGCAGGTTGAGGTGTCCCTACCGCTGGTTGTGCCCCAGGCATAGAAGGATCTCGTGAACCAGACGGCATTGGTGGTGGCAACAACGATTTATTGGGGTCAAGGTAGTTTTGCTGCGGTGCAGCGTAGCCGCCTTGTGCTGCGAATTGTGGTTGCTGTCGAGGTGGCACGGATGCCATATCATTGTTGTGGCCCTCAGAAGCCGGCGTAGGCGGGGGTCCAGAGAACATAGCACCCGCTTGCTTCATGGAAGAATACGAAGAAATAGGGTGGGGCATAAGACGAGTTGGTGCCGCTGTGCCAGTTGGGCCTTGGTTCAAGCCTGGTGGCATTGTATGCACAGCTGAACGGGGTGGCGGCACCATACCCTGTAACGGTGGTTGCTGCTGCTGCTGCTGCTGGCCAGGCATAGGGAATTGTTGCTGTTGCTGCTGGCCAGGTATGGGGAATTGTTGCTGTTGCTGCTGGCCAGGTATGGGGAATTGTTGCTGTTGCTGCTGGCCAGGTATGGGGAATTGTTGCTGTTGCTGCTGGCCAGGCATAGGGAATTGTTGCTGTTGCTGTTGCGACGGCTGCTGCTGCAGTTGTTGTTGTTGTGCCATGAAGGCAGCACATGATGGGCTCGGGGAATCCGACAGCGGCACGATGGCAAAGGGAAAAACAACCTGTCCGGCAGGCACTTTAAACTTCAGGCGGTCCACCATAACTGCTGCGCCGCGATTGCCAATACTCGCCGAGCGCTGCAGAACGGACGTCCCCTCCGACAGCATCCCATCTCCCACCAGCTTCAT